CCTCCCTAGCTCCCTCCCTGAACTTCCCTATATGCCACTTGATATGTATCAAACAATAGATAATCCCTTTTACAAATTATTTTCTAATGTCAGAATCATTTCCTCTGAACTCTAAGGCACTGTAACTCACAATTAACCGACCCCCTACTGTGTATTAACAATAATGCACCTACTTGTTTCTCCTTTCTTCCTGCTCACATAGCACAGGTCAGTGAAGGTCACTAGTGTTCTGCAAATACCAGCGAATCCAGTGACTTACATCACCCACTACATCAACTTTACAAATAAAGAAATAAAATGGCTTATCCATGAACATGGGAGAAATGAAATGGCCTGTCCATGAACACAGCACAAGTATCTCAGTAGGTACAAACGTCATCCTGGCTTTCAGAGTCCAATTTCCTTGCCCAGCATCTTGTTACACGTAGCCTTTGATTGCAGATGGCATAATGCAGATGTGATGAACACGGGATGTCACAGAAATACCTTTTGCAGCAAGTAAGACAAAGAGCATGTGTAACGTACCGGGGCAGAGTAACAGCTCTGAAATACGCAGAGCTGTTGGAATGATGGCTTGTTTTATAATTGCTTTTACCTCAATTTTCTGAAGGAAAAAGCAAGCTCAATTTAACAATAGGAAAGGCATTGTGTATCCCTCATCCTTGTGAATTCTTGCACTTACAAGGCAAGGCAGAGTGTTCAGCTGCCATTAAAAGGTACCCTTAAAAGTTCCTTTTCCAGAACTACATTCCAGTGCACCTCATCAGACACGGACTGCAGTGTTACAGCTTTGTGACAGAAGAAAGGCTACCACAGCAGACTACAGCCAGAGAGTCCACCCTCGTGAGTTTTTGAAGTGGAGGCCTCTTTCCCAGCGTATGTCCCCAGGCAGTTGTCAAAAGGGAAGAGAGCCAGGGTGCTGTGCAGGATGAATATGCAAGGACAATCCTTAGCTGAGGAAGGAACAAAGAAACCATCAATTGCCTGAGCCCCAGCTCAGCATGACGCTGCAGGGATTTGTGTCTCCGGATTTCAGAGCAACTGGAAAAGCCGGCAGAACACTCCAGAGTTCCTGCTGGTACCAGTAACAAAAGCAAATCCAGGGCTAAAATGATCAGATGAGAAAATCTCAGAGAGAGGAAATGTGCTTGCCTCTGTGTGTTTATACGTGGCCTAGCACAAAGGTTCCCTGGACAAGACCCAAAGACATGACAAATGTGCAAAATAATGAGGAACAATTATTATCTGTGGTGCTGAGAAAAAAACATAAACAGGTTGTGCTTGTTCAGTAATGTCATCAGCCCCAACCTGCCAGGCCTGGTCACACGTTGAGCGAGCTGCTACATGTCCTCACAGCTCCTCTCCTGTGATGGGCTAGCAGCAGCCTGAGGCTGCATCACGACTGATGCTTGCTAAATATACACGGATTCAAAAAAGGAACCACTTTACATGTACCTACTGCACATCTCCACGCTATTACCCACAATTTCTAGACATGCCTTTTCACTCCCCACACTGAACGCAACCTTCTTGGCTACCCTCATTTTATATGAAATCAGTGTTCTGCTAGAGCTAGCAACTTTGCAGGTATTGATGGAGGCACCTTATTGATAATAGGAGTAACAAAACAACATCCCTCTAATATCCAGCAGGTGAGAAAAATATCGGTGTGGGACTCAGTGGGAAGGAAATTCTGCTGCTGGCAGCAAGGGGTGCTACAGTCAACAGCAATTGCACTGGCTTCTTCTAGGGCTTGGGCTCAGGGACATCAGGAATGGTGGTGATGGAGAGAGAGATGTGGGTTTGGTGTATTCTGTTGCTACCAACTGAAAAAAGTTCCAGGAGGGTAACACAGAAGCTGCCAGACTGGGCTCCTTATGCTTGTAACTATTCTGTTTACTTCTAACTGAATCAAAGCTTATATCTAGAAAAAGAGGAATTTCTGCTATTGGCAGCAACAAGTACAACGTTAGGCTCTTGTTGGCTACTTTACACTTGGAATCTGGTGACCCCTGTACTGAGGCAATGGGGAAGTAATTCAGCTAAAGACAATGAAGTTACGCCAGGACAAACAAACCCAGTCAGAATTGCGCACTTCTGGCTCCATCTGGCTTTCTCGTGACTGCCCACAGGAAGCAGAACACAAAAAAGCAAAGCATCAACTTGTACTCGCAAGACCATCGTGGTCAGTTAAAGCACGACAGGGTCATGCCTTAAGGAGCCTGCTGTCTGCCACAGCCTTAATCCTGCAGGGGGAGGTGAAAGGGGAAGACACAGAGGTAAGGCTCTGAGGGAGAAGAGGATCTACAGAAAAAAATATTAAAAGATTATATTAGATTTCTATAACTTAACGACAGCTAGCTCCGTTCTTAGAACAGCTTCTGGAAACAGTTCAAAATAGGATGGACGTACCCCTTGTAACCACAAGGATCTGAATAACTAAAAATGGTTTCATTGCTTTTTTTTCCAGACGCAGTACATTTTCAAAAAATGTATATGATATATACATAGAAACTTGCTAGGAATTTTTAAGCAAAATGTTTTTCTGCTGGAAAATGCCAGTGTTTGTCAACCATCAAAACAGTTTGCAAAGAGGAAAAAGATGTCTTGGGGCAAATCCTTTGTTCTACAGCCTTTATATGGGATTTGTCATTATTTTGGAAAGAAAAAAGTTCCATTAATAGAAGTATTTTTTAGTTTAAAAATCTGATTTTAAGTAAAAGAATACAATAAAAATTGGAATAAAGAAAATAATTCAGCTATGTATAAACAAAAAATTCAACTGTTCACTTTCAACAAGTATTTCTCTGGCTTGCTGGTTCAAAAAAACAGAATATGAGTCTTTGTCTCAGACTGGGGGAGCTCTAAAGAATATGTAAGCGTAGGAAATCCATGTAATGTGTCAAATCACATGTCACGGATTTCCTCTCTGCTCCTACCTCAGCACTTGTCTCCTGCAAATGCCCAAGGAGAAAAGGGAACAAATAAGTGTATTATGGTCCTAAAAACTCCCTGGTATGTGGTAATCTCTCCCTGTTTTCTGGCTTTGCCCATTTCTGTCATTTTAGATCACGAAGTACCTAAGAGACTTTTTTTAACATTTGTTTGTGCAGACTTTCGCACACTGTGCCCTCACCCTGAGTGGAGCTTCAGTAGGGCACCAGCAACCACTAACAGTGCCCTCTACAATTTTGTATAGATTGAGTGTGTCTTGCAGACGGGCAGAAAAGCAAGAATGGGATCAGCAAGAAATATTTTCTTTGGCACAGAAAGAACGGCACGACTGATCTAAACCTGGGTTTTCAGTTTGGCAACACAGAATGCTGAGCCCAGCCAACGGCATCCCACATGTGGAGCAGAGCAACTGCCCCATCCTGAGTCAGGTGCTCCAGCTGCAGGGTTAGAAACCACAGGGATGTGTGTTCCGAGACTGCTGGGGATATGGTTTTGGCTGCTGAGGGTCATGTGTTTTTCGGCACAAGTACCAGCAGGCTATGAATGCACACTCCACAGTGGCTTCTTGCCACTGGCAATTTTACTGCTCCTCCTTCTCCAGCTCCCCATTCCAACACACCTGCTTGTTCTTCATTTAGTGAAGTGATTCAGGAATACTAACAGGAATAGTTATAACGTCCCTGTTGGGAGTAGAGGCATTCTCTGCAATTATTCCGGCCACTGAGTTGAGCTCTCTTGCCCATTTTTCCAATCCTTGTGTCACAGCATCAGATCTGAATAATAATATGAATCAGCATGATGGCAGATTCTTATCTTCTATTGCAGCTTAAGAGCCAACAGTCATCATTACATTCTTAACAAAGAAACATCAACCCATGGATAGATGAGAGTCTATCGATAGGATTGTGAGGTGGAAAAGTATCTGTAGGTACGCAATTGCTGCTGCGAGTGATTTAATGCTGTAAATACTCATAAAATGTGCAAAAAAGACACCAGATGAGTGTCCATGCATACTTCAAAAATAAAATGCACCTTTTGTTTTTTGAACAGACCGACAGGCTGCCATCCAGGAATGTGAATTTACATGTTGCCTTGGGATTCCTAAAGGCCGAAGCACTACTCTCTATTGTCAGATCGACCCTGAGAGTCACCAAGCACACACATTACAAGGCAACACACCCAAAGTACCCTCTCAGAAAGGAGCACCGACAGCTGGCAGAGACAGGCAGAAAACATCCAGCACTCCCAACATCAACTCCTTAGAGGCATTTGAAGATCCTTCTTCTCCTCTCTAAGCATTAGCAACTTTGTCCCATATCTGTTTTAAAAGTATAATGATGGGGAGGAAACTTAAACTAGAGATTAGTGGCTGGTGGGAACAAAAGGATGAAAATTATTGCTATTCTTGGAAAAAAAAAAAGCCATGGAATGCACCAGTTTCTTAGATGCAAGAGAAGTCTTAAGCATCTTGACATTTCCTGTGCTGGTGTATTTACACTGTCCCCTACTTTAGGACTAACAATGCTGAGAACACGCAGCAAAAGGTAGACAGCAACAGTCTACTGCCAGCCAGTGTCGTTTGGTTATTTTTAACTTGTTCACCCTAGTGATGTGGTATCACACACACCTTCTCATAGCACATAGTCCTGCTGATCCCACAAATCAGGGAGGTAAAAGCAGACCTGATTCTCTTTTCATTTACAAGCTTTTGAGCTGATGTAGTCATTGTCTTTATAAGGTTTTAAGGCAGGTTACGTATTCTAAGAAAGCGAAGGAAGGTCAGTGATCCTGTAATACCATGAAAAGACTGGCCATTACAAGAGAACAAGCATGTTCAGCTTGGGCAGGGATTTACTGGGGAGAGGAGCACTTAGCTCTCTTCCCTCTGTTAGCATCAGGAGCAACAACCATGCGGTTGCGCAGCTCCCACAATCTCAAAAGGTCTGGATCCAGTTTTGCCAGTTCAGTAAGGAAAGGTCAGTCGCACTAAGACACATATGCGAGGAACGGATTTTGTAAAACTTTTTCAAAAATATGGAATTTACCTCCTTCTCTTTGAACTATATGGTACAGATGAACCGTATGCAGGATGGACTCCAGATCTTGATCTTGGTAGCCCTTCTCGTGCATGTCATCCACTGAGTCTGGATAGATTACTTGATCACGCAGCGTTCCAATAGACATGTAGGGCCTGAGAAACAATACAGAGAAATGGGTAATCTGGAGCCACATCTTGCTGATGCTCTATGAGCAGAATCTAGTGCTTTAAACACCATGTTGCTAAAATTGGATTTATCTGTGGCTGCATTGTGCGTGAACGTTTTTCTAAATATACCCTAGGGACAATGTACTGTTTCCATAACAGCTGATTACAGGGTAGCAACAGGGTAGTATTAGCATGAAAACAAAATGACAGATCAGGCAGAATAAACATCCACTTGGTAGTCCATTCAGAATGCTTTTACTTGGAATCAGGGAAACTCTATGCTGTATTCAAGGTTTCATACCTTAGAGATTTAGAAATTTAATGAAGCACTCATAAGTTAAAATCAAATTGTAACAAAAATGTTGCAGTTTAAAGTGGGAATGACTTCCATGGTGCCCAGTAGACACCCACGTCAGGCAGGAGAGCACTGGAAGTCTCCTTTGCACACTAGTGTTCCAGACTGCAGAACCGGGACCAGGTGTAACTTGGCTGGGTCTAGAAGCCAGTGTTAACACTTCTAAAGTGCCAAAAAAGCATGCAACAGAGAAGTTGATCAGCTTCAACCTCCCAGCACCAGCCTCCCTTTGCCAAGCACAAGGCTGAGCTGTATGTGAAGCAGCTTCTGAATCACGGTGTTCCCAGACTCGGTAATAGCATCCCTCTTACTACAACAAGCTGCCTCCACTTCAGAGCCAGAGTCCCCAGCCACAGCCACGTCCCTGCCATGGCTACGGCCTCCACAGTGTCATGAGCTGTGCCCACAGCCCAGGCCTCAAAAGTCCTCCTGGCTTCTAAACAAAGCAGGCCCAGTTTCCCAGCTCTCTAAAAGATACCAGGCCATTCAGGCTACAATAGCAAAGGCTGACACATCTGTTTGACCATCTCTTTCGCTGCTCTTGTTCTAAGGATTTCTGGAGAAGGCCAAATATCCATCCTGTCCCACCAACATTGCTGGTAGCTCTTGGAAGCTGGAAACACTCCAGGAATGAGACTTTGAGTTTGGGAGGGAAGGCCAGAGCCAAAGAACAGTCAGGCTCCAGACCCTGTCCTGCTCTCTGTGCCAAGACTGACACTAACTCCCCGGGGTTCATCTGCCAAAACAATACTAGTCTCACTAAAGCTGTGGTGCCAGGGGATGATGACAGAGAGGAGCAGTTAAAATTGGGCCAGCAATAAGGAGGCTTCCAGACAGCTTGATCTTGCCACTGAGAACTGCTTCCAACAACTCCACAGCACATTGACAAGGGGTCAGTTTTCTTTCCTGAAGAGCTCCGGACCTGCATGGCCATGCCAAGACTTTACCTGACAAAAATGTGTAATATTTTAGCAGATTTCTTCCCTTCCCTTGGAGGTGTCTCTGCAAAAGCAGTGGATCTACTCATTGTTATTCTCAGAGACCCTAAAATACATCACAGAGCAATCTGGAGGAATTCATAATGCAACAGATGTACAACTACAGAACTAAAGCTTCAACTCGAACTGAAAGTCACGTTCAAGCCGGCACCACCCGCGTTGGTTTAGTGCTGCAGACATCCATGGGGAACCATCAGTACCCGCCCGTAGTTAAATTACTTTCACCACAGGCTGGGTGAGGGTGGGAAGGGCAGGGATCTGAACTGCTCACAAATATTTGGTCATCTCCCTGCTGTGGGCAGGCACCCACATGGAGCAAAACCAGAACCACAAGTCAAATACAGGCACTGCTGCTCCTCTTGGCTCATTATTCCGCTTTCTGCTCACTGTGGGAAGAGTGACTCTCCGGGCTGCTGCACGAACACCAGCATCAAGTGCAGCGAACCATTTACATTAGCGGCGATATTGCAAAATCTCAACTCTAAACATTACGTAACTTCATGAAGTAATGATATATTACATTTCCATAGTGCACTGTCTACAATTGCCAAAGGGCTTTACTTCTTGCGTATGCAGAAATCATTTCATTTGCTCCAGACTGCTGCCATCTCTGGGACAGAAGATAGCAACTCTATCTGGGCTCAAAAACATTTAAATCAGGTTGTGCGTAAGACTGTGTAATTTAGGTGAAGCTGCAGGTAAGGGCAAGGAGGACAGAGTTACTTATCATGCAATTTGTCTGGGGTTTAATACCTTACTCTTGTGAAGTGTGTTCCTGTAATGACTAGCAGCTCTGAGATTTAACTGCAGCAGCACAACCAGGAAGGCAATGCTCAAAAGCACCGAGCCAGGACACTTTCTGCGACGCTGTTCCTTGCATCGTTTCCTGGTACAACTGGATTTTCCTCGTGGCCTCCCATCTAAACCACACCAGTACTACCAAGCACGCCTCTCCCCATCTAGTTTGTAAAAATTAAAGAAAAGCCCAGCCTGCAGTGGAATAGCAAACCCCATCAATAACTAGTAGAAAAGAACAACGGCCTATGGTTAAGAGTCTGTCCCAGGAGGTGGGAGAGCACGTTCTGCTTCCTCCATCTCACGCCTGGCATCAGGTGCCTTGTTTGGGGCTCCAACTCTTGACAACTCTTGGTGGCACCTCTGTGGTTGGTTTATCTCATTGATGTTAGGGTGGAGACGGATTGCCTCCTGGCGTTGTCTTCCCCCTCAGCAGCAGGACGCAGCCCAGACAACTGACTTAGGTAACTAACTTCTCAAGTGCTAAGGTTAGGTGAGATCTCTTCTAACGCATACCCTGATAATCTCGTACTAAACCAGATTTCTCTACCCGTAACTTGAAGATAATCGCCTCCTCCTATCACGGGTGTCACAAAGTCAAACACACTAAAATCTATTAAAATACCAGATGTTATTGTAATTGAGGTTACATGTGTGTGATAGCTAGGCATTAAGTAGTACAAAGTATGGGTATCTGGATACAGCAACAGAGAAATTTTGGCTTTGCCAGTAAGCATCTTGTTAAAATACTATTTTCATTACATTTTTAGCAGTCCAAACAATAAAAATGGTCTTTTTGTCCTGAAGTAATACTCAAGCTTAACTGGACATAATTGATTTCTGATGGAGTTTTTCCTTTCAGACAGAGTGTCTGGGTTCCAGTCACAAAGAACACACTCTTACAGATTCTGAAAGCAACTCCTCTGCTGTGCAGAGGTAACGTCTTTGATGGTAATAGCTCTGCCATTGTTTTCTTTCTTTCTCTGTTCTTTGAAAAAAAAAACCCCACACTGTTTGAGAGACAGAATTAAAGATCAGTGATCCTCTTTTAAAGATTTGGTATCAAACCTCCAAAAAGCTAAGAAAACTTACTGCTTTCTTCCTGGATTTCTGGAATTTCAAGGCATTTATTGAAGGAGACACTTTCAATTCTCATAAACTGTCTGGTTTCAGTCCATTTGATGGTTTTATTGCATCACCAGTTTCTGTTTGGTAAGCACTCCACTCTGCAGAGCTGTAACTTCATTCCGCTAGTAATAAGCCATTATCCCGTGAGGTTTATGGCTTCCCCCCTGCAGTGCAGGCTTCAAAGAAAGATGATATCAAGACATGCTGCAATCTGAAGCCTGTGGGATGGATACTTCCCCAGTGCCCTATTGACACATGACATTGTGTACAATGTTGGCTTAATACTAGCGAAATCCTATGGGGAGGAAGGGCAAGTGTTGTCGCTGATAGGATCTCTTTGTGGTGGTTAGTTCTGGGGAGGGAGAAAGGGGCAGATGCTACAAAACATATCGGAGCACACACCAGTCGCTTGTCCTTCCAAACAGAGGACTTAGATGCTGGAGCTGTTAGGCATAAAGAGAGGTATGCCAGCTCAAAGGGATTGTAGATTAACACTGCACACTGTAACCAGAGAACTGCTAACATCTCGTAGCTCTCCGATGTCTTGAAGAGCAGAGGGCTTCACTCTTCTGGGTAGCAAGTTAGAAAAGATGACTTGCTTAGGTGTCTGTTCCAATATCAGAACAAGTCATATCCACTTAAAATGTTTACAGATACTTCCTGAAGGTATCAGAAGGTGAGGTGTTTTCATCTTCCCTGCAAAATAAACTGTGCTGACAAAACTGATAACCTGATAACTGTCAGCCATACCGTATAGCAACTAATCAATATGCACTTTGAGAGTCTATAAAGCAATCTGAACGGTCAGAGTCTTAATTATAAGCACCCCAGAATAAGAAAGGGACCAAAAATATATCTTAATTATGTGGCTGGGCATCAGAAGTTAAGCGATGTTAGTCCAGTGTAAGTGTCCAAGGAACTGCTTCCAGGTACAGCCTGAAGCTCACCTCACCTTCCTTGGCACAGGCTGTGATTAACACTCCCCCCATGGAGGGTAAAGTATAAAAACATGTAGCTTGTGATTTTGAGAACCCATGTGCATGCCCTCGATGGAGCAATCAGGACCTGACTTGTCATTTGCTGTCCAAATGCATTTGTAGTTATTGTTGCACCATTATTCTCACAGATATGCAAAGTTACGTGGGAAAACTTTGTGTAATGCAACTATAAGCTTTGGACTGATCCATCTTCTAAGTTTCTGCCTCTGGCTGACAAGATGCCTCTCTGATATAGCCAAGTGGGAGAGAGAAGGGGGAACACTACATCTGGGATTCCCCTTTTCAGACAAATTGCAGCTTGGATTTTCAAAGGAGATGAGGATGGCTTCAGAGTGCAATTCAGAGTGCTTGCTTTGACATCTAAAATAAAATGCATTCCAAATTTAGGCAACTCTATTCAAGCAGGTGATACTGGAGCCCAAGTTCCAGCCGTGGAGGTATTTTCCTAGGAAACCTGGAAGATCCTAAGGGGTCAGCAGTTGCACTGAAGAATCTCCAGTACAGAAAGCCAAGGGTACAACTCACACCTACAGCTGTGCCCAAATGCTGTCTAATTCCCTAGAAAGTCTAGTACAGCATGGCATACGAAAGCAACATTTTTAAGTCCTGCATGACAAGCTAACTGTTAGCAAATCTCTTCCAAGAACTATGTTCAGGCTAAGTTCTTCTCAGCTAGCAGGGCATCAGATTCTCATTTTTATAGGCTAGCAT